TATAAAGAGATTTCTGTAAAAATATTAATCTAAAATCTCAAATTGGTGAATATGTGAACAAAATTATTTTCTCATATTTTTACTCTAAAACTTCCAAATAGCCTTAAGAGATAACTGGGAGAAAGACCACTCTATGCTTACCCTGAGCAACCTCATCTGTTGATCACCTATATACAAGATTCCAAAATCTTTGTAAACAGTTCAGACCTCTCATCCAAGCTCCAATATGTAACTGAATGTCCCACAAATATCTCATATTTGGCACATCCAAAACTGAACTCATCATCAATTCACATCCTCCTTTGCTCCACTATACAACTGTCCTTGGGCACATTTTATTGTAATAAACAGAAATTTACTCAAGGTTGATCACATTTCTTTTTTTCATCTCATGAAACCCAACTGTTGCAGAGCATAATAGTTATGGGATTCGGTTTTCTGCTTGAACGATGAGCTTCTCTTCTATCCTAGATTGAGGGACACTAATTGTACAAATTGTGGAGTATTTATTCGTCTCTTCCAGTGAAGGAAAATTCTATTTCCAAGGACTTTGGGAAAAGATGTAAAAAATTAAAAGTTAATGTGTTGTGAAGGACTGGGGACATCAGGCTCTTTCTCATGATCATCAGGCCCTATTATGGGGGAGACATTTTAGAATGAAAGCTTTTATGAATAAAATTCTAAAGAAAAAGTGAGTAGAAAGAGTGGGGCAAAAGACAGATTGAATAGGCTCTGTGTCCTGAAGTTCATATGCCTGGCCATAAACTTGAGTCCCATAAACTATAGTCTGGAAGGTGCTGCAGCTAGTGTGTTGCTATGAAGGGCACTGTGCAAGTGCCCAAAATCTCTTATTAAATGGAGAATTCATACCAGCATCATAGCTTGGAGATGACTCACCTGGTTAGGTCACTTAGCCTGAGTGGAAACCTTGCCATATTGTGCCTCAAGGTATTGGAATGATATAGGCTTGGACCTGGGACCCTTTGCTGCAGTGCTTGCACCTAGACAAATATTTCCTCGAGCAACAGAATACAAGGAAACTCTAAGGGACTAAAAATAACTGCACACATGCACAGTTGAGGCAAATTATGAGCAACAAGATACAAAAAGACCAAAACCCAACTGCCACTTCTGAGGTGTCGGGGCAAAAGCAGGATACTTCACAAGATCCCTGCAGATAGCACCACCAAAGGGGTGAGCAGACCACCTAAGCCACCCCTCTTGCCTAACCCACGAGTCTGCCCCCACTCTCACCCCATTTAAGGGACCAGCTTGCCCCCCCCTCAGGAATTGAGCAAGGGAACATGTTTCCTGTTCTCACTCCCCCATGCAGCAGCATGAACCTCAATAAAGCCTTGTCTGAATTTTCTTGTCTGGCCTTATATCAATTTCTATTGATTAAAGAGTCCAGGAACCCTGGTCGGTAACAACAGTACAAAATGAGCACAAGACTTGGGACTTCCTGCCACTTCCTACTACTCATAACGTCCAGGATTTAGGTTGCAGACTATGAGTGTGGTCTAAATATTTAAATATCAGAATATTTTGTCTTGAAAACTTGGAACTGAGTAGAAGGAACTGCTGTAACGTTTGTCAGAATGTCTCTCTCTTTCTATTGTCTTCCTGATGCTGAGGCTGAGTACCAGGGGCCATTGATCATTGCACTAGTGTTGTTTTCTTTGTATCCTTTTTTCCAAAAATGGGAAAATAAAAGGTAGACCAAAAAAGCTATATATTTCTTACATGTCTTGTACTTCACTCATTTAGGTTAACAGATTATGAATAATTTTGTGCCAACATATTTGACAACTAAGGTGAAATGAGATGTCAGTACTACTATAACTCAACATGAATCCCTAAAAATCAATGCACCATGAAATCATGAATAAAAACTGAAGATCTTATGGGGAAAATGAGATTAGAGGCACAACACCCAAACACTTCATCAGTAACCCATTACAAAAAGATAGGAACTTAATAAACGTGGTAGCACACTTTTAAGAAATATATAAATACTACATACAATACATAGGAAAGTCAACTGAAGTTTGCTTATAGCAGTGGATGTAGGAAGGGTTGCAGCTTGTGCGTCATTGTGAAGTAGTTTTAAGCAGGGTTATCAAAATTTGAAATCTTTCACAGCCTTAAATCTTAGGTCATATTATTCTTTCTTTCAAATGTAGGCCCTTCAAGAGATGCATATATAATAGATAACTGTTTCATTAAAATTGAAAATGTAATCCAATGTAATCCTTCTTCTTCAATTATCATGTGTTTCACTGCTAGAAATTCTTCTGCAAGTTTTAAATCTGCAATCACATCTTCACCCAAGGCTGAAAGCTTTGGAAATTGCAACAGTGTTTTAAATCACCAAACCATCATTGAAGGAGCCACTTCTGCAGGGTCTGACAATTTTCGTTTAAGGCCTTTGTGTATAGATAGTGCCTTCTCATTGCATGTGAGAAAGGTTGTTCTTAATTTTTTTTACTGTCTAGTCTTCAATCCATAGATTCATCAATCTTTTCATTTCTTCTATTACTTTAGGTCTCATTACTGATTTTGTATTTCTTGAAGTTTTTCCAGACATAGGTGTTTCCTTTATTTTCACTGTATTGTCTCAGAAGGTCCAAAAATGCATATTTCTTTACACCTACTGCTCAGGAGATATCACATATTCTCACACTTCTTTCAAAATTCTTGGTTACTTCAAACTTCACCTGATATTTAAAGCTTTCCTTTCTCATGCAGTGCTTGGTGTTTTGGGGCCAGAGTGCTTAGACACGTTTAGGATATTGTTTACTTACATAGAAAAATTCACAATTAAAAAATAGTAACAAAACACAATTTTGTAGGTAACACCTGAGTGAACCAAGGTATCTGGTAGATGTTTGAGGAGTCTGTGTGTGTGTTTTGTGCATTCTTACACAGTCTGATTGTGCTGGGTGCTGTTTTCTGCATTCACATCGTGTTTCTTATGGACGAAACAGTGCATGAGTGAACATGAAATGTATGTAATTTTCAAATTGTTTCCTAATATATCCACCATTTTGGAACAAATTCATGTTTTTAAATAAGTGTTATTGTAGAACTGACTGTGCACAACTCAGCAAAGCAGCCACAGGAAAGAATGGAAAATCTGAGAGCATGTTAAATAGCTTGAATTTATAATTAAAAACCTTATTACAAAGAAATCTCCAGGCCTGGATGGCTTCATTGGTGAAATATTTCAGATATTTAAGGAAGTAATAATGCCAATCTTAAACAAACTTTTCCTGAAAATAAAGAGGAAACAATTCCCAATTTGTTTATGAAGCTAATAAAACACTGATACCAAAGTCTTAAAAGAAAATTACAAACCAATAACCATCATGGACATAGATGTAAAAATCCTAATGAAAATATTAGCAAATGAAATTAAGCAATATATAAGAAGAATAATGTATTAGTCTGCTTAGGCTGCCATAGCCAAATACTATAGACTGGGTGGCCTAAACAACAGAAATATATTTTCTAAGCTCTGGAGGCTGGAAGTCCCAGATCCAGGTCCAGCAGGGTTGGTTTCTGGACACCATTGAAGGGATAAAAAGGCAAGCCACAGTGTGAGAGAAGATATTAACAACACATAAAACTGGCAAAGTGTGTGTATACAGTCTGCTGAAGAACACCTACAAATAAATGAGAAAAATGTACAACAGAATAGAAAAGGCGGGCTAAAAACTTGAATAAGCACTTTATGAAAGATAACATCAAAATGGCCAATTGAAATATGTAATGGTGATCAATTTCATTAGACATCAGGGAAATGCAAATAAAAACTTGAATGAGGGACTTCCCTGGTGGCGCAGTGGTTAAGACTCTGTGCTCCCAGTGCAGGGGGCCCGGGTTTTGTTGCTTGTAATCAAAGAATGCTGACCAATACAGGAATTGGTATCAGGAATAAAGAGTAGTTCAGAGAGAAAGGTGTAGGGATTTTGAATACTCTTAGCCCTCCAGATCCTCCCAGATAGCCCCCTTAAAATGTCAGACTACCACTCTCTCCTGCTCAAAGTTCTAAATTTTTAAATAAGTGACCTATCAAGGTTAGGTATAAATTCAACTGAAATAATTTTAGAAACCAAGGGAATCAGTCTTTGAGTTTAGCTTTTAAAAATCTCAGCTTTTCTTGACCATGAGAAGTAAAGGGGCTTTCTTTAGTATGGCCATCAGAGGTCCCTGAGATTTATTATATGCCTAGGGGCAAATTTAAGAAGCTGCATATACTTTTCCTCTCACGTTAAATTAGTCAGTGCCATCAGATGTAGCCACTTCTGACACACCGGCCTTTTTCATTGCTGTTCCTTCTGCGTGGAAGGTTCTTCCCTAAATTCCTTCAGGACTTTTCTCAAATGTCACTTTATCAGAAAGCCTTTCCCTAATCTATCTAAATCAATGAATTCCCACCCCATCCCCATACTGTTTTATTTTCCTTCATAGCATTTGGCACTTTGTAACATTTATTTGTTTCTCTTTTCCCCCTGGAATCACAAGCTCCGTGAGGGAAGGCATTATGTTATGTCTGTACTTTGAACAAGTGCCTGGCACGTAGCAGGCACTTAGTGACATACTCTTAGGCTGTATGAACTTGCCCACGTATTGCAGAGGTAACATGTTCTTTTTGTGACTATACAGTTATTTATTAAGGCAGCCGGACTTGGATTTTAAGTCCTCAACTAGACAAATCACATATGCCTGAAAAAAACGAACATAATGAAAAGTTCTGCACCCAGCAAAGTAACTTTCAAGTGGACTATGGAGAATATTCTGAAAGGTGTTATCAGGGATAGCGACAGCCAACCACAGGGTTGAACCGTTTTCCCCGGAGAAAGAGGGCCAACTTGTGCCACTTCCTAGAGCGGCACTAGGAAGGCGGAGAAAGGGCGGAGCCGGCCGGCGAGGGGCGGAACTGGGTGGGGCTACTTTGAGCAGTGCCTAGTTGAGCTATTTTGTCCCTTTCCGCTCTCCGTGCGAAGACCTGGGCGGAGAGCGCTACAGCTATGGCGGCCGTTAGGGTAAGTAAGAATTACTTTGCTTAGTTTCTCTGGATGCTGGTAGCCCTCTGATAACTGTAGAAGGGATCCTCCTAACTTCAGAAGGGAGTCCCACAGCAAGAGGCGAGGTGGAGATGGGGTTGCGAGAGAATTGGCAAGGTCAGGGAATCTTTAACGTTTGAAGCCTCAAGACACCTGCTTCTCCCCTTTAGAGTTTCCTCAGCCTGGGACGGTTCTCTCTCCTCAATCCCCTGCTGTTGACTGTTTACACAGCGGCAGGGTAAAAACTGGGAAACAGCTGGGCGAAAATGGCCCGCCAGGTGACGAGCAGCGAACAGACTTGGGTCTTGAGATGAAACAAAGAGAAAAGAATCCTGGGCATTTGTCTGGGTGCATAGGGCGGGGCCTCACGACCCTTTGAAGGACTTTGTTCAAACATTATTTCGGGTGAAATAGACCAGGATAGAGACGTCTCAAGTCTCTCTGCAGTGCCTGGGTTTGTATTCACTGTTGTTACTTTACGGGTTTGAATGACAAACCTAAGTTTCTTTTGAGTTCTGTAATGGGAAAAGGTGCCTTTACTTAGGAATCTGTGTACAGGAAGTGACACGTGGCTGCTAGCTGCAGTTCCCTAAGTGGGTTTCAGTAACAGTAGTCGACAAATATCTATGAGTAGACAAATACCTACGGGTAGATATTTGTAGCGGGTTTTAAGTGTAAAATGCACTGCTTGCAGGAGATACAAATATGAATAATTCAGGCTCAGTATCCGTCTTGATTCGCCATTCTCACTCCATTTCTGCTTTCAGAATTTATTTGAATTATCACAACACCCTTCTAACTGAACTCGCTGCCTCTAGCCTGGCTCTCATGGAATTAACTTCCCCCTGCACTGCCAGAGTACTAAAATGTAAATCTGATTATGCCCTTCCACTACTTAAAAATCTTTATTGGCACTCCATCATCTGCCCTCTAGGGTCAGGTCAGGCTCCTATGTCTGGAAGAGCCGACTCTGCTTTGGCTTTCCAGCTTCATTTCCTGTCTCTCAGGAACTCTCCTAATATCTGTACTCCAAGCCTTTTTCCCTGCTCTTTCTCTGGGCCTGAAGTGCCGTTTCCCATCCTCATCTAGTTATTTCCTATTCATATTTCACTCGTTCATTTAACAGGGATTTGTGTACTGCCTCCCCGTATGCTAAATACAAAATGCCTTTTCCAAGATAGTGTCCCAGATCTCCCCAGTCTGATTTAAGTAACTCCTCTTTGTGCTCGAGAGGATTCTGGGCATACTTTTACCATAGGACCTATCATACTGCAAATAGTAGACTATTTACTTGTGTATTCTATCCTCCTAAACTATAAGCTACTTGAGGACAGTAATTATAATATGTTAATTTTTGTACCTAGCACATATATGAGCTATATTAGGGACTCAGTAAATTCTACATGAATAAATAAGTGCCAGGCAATGGACATAAAGGATATTAAATTAAGTAGTGGAGATGTATCATATAACAAATGATTGTCATTCAGAGTAGAGGAAGTGCCTTGTTCTCAGGAGAAGTACAAAGTGATCTGAGGGTTCAGAAGAGAGAGTTCACACTTGGTTGAAGAGAATAAAGAAAGACATCATGGAGGGAGTGCAGAGAGAGAAGGAATGGTCAGTGGTTAAAAAGCAGACCTGAATAGTGTGTTGTCACTGAAGCCTAGAGAAGGAGCGAGTTGAACAGTAGAAGGAGCGAGTTGAACAGTCTTTTGATTTGGCTATTAATAAGTCACTGGTAGCTGCCATTTATTAAGTGCTTACTGCAAGGCCAGGCACCATGCTAAAATACTTTGCATATGTTATTTCACTTAATTCTCAAGACAACTTTATGTTGTAGATGATAATGATCACCATTTTACAAATGAAAAACTAAGGTTTAGAAAATTCAATTAAATTGCCCAAAGTCACAATGCTAATAAGAGCTGAAGTGAGGTAAAGTGGTAGAGTGAGAACCTAGATTGTAAGGGGTTAGGGAAAGGATAAGGGGTGGGAAACTGGCATTCATTTAGCACCTACTTTGACCACCTGCTTTACATGTATTATTTCAGTTTAATCTTCTTGATGACCCTAAGAAATGGGTAGTATCCCCATTTTACATATGAAAAAACTGAGGTTTAGAAAAAGTGCTTGCTCTGGGTTATCCAAGTGGAAGAACCAGGTTCAAACACAGATATATTTGGCTTCAAAGTCCCTGATCTTTCCACTACTCCTTGCCTCCTCTGGAAGGGAGGTGTACATTACTCTTTAGAGAAATGTTGCAGCAAAAGGTAGGGAAGAAATCTTGAGTTGGGGGTAGCAAATTCCAGGAAAGTTTCTTTTCATTTAAAAAAGTAGGAGACTATATGCCAATTAAATCTCAATAAAACTGGTGAAAAAAAATTCAGGAGACCTGAGCAGGTTTGGAGACAAGTGGAAATATGCCAAGAACTGGTAAGAATTAATAATAGTGATCACAGCTATTATGCTATTGAACATTTACTGTGCTAGGCATTTTGCTAAGCACGTTATGTGAATTTTCGCATTTATGCTTCACAGTGGCCCTATATCTAGGTACTGTTATTACCAGCATTTTAAAGGTGAAGAAACTGAAGCTTAGAAAGGTTGAGTAACTTTGACACAGTCACTCAGTCATAAGTGGTAGATCTGGATCTGAAATCGCTATGGTCTGAGTTCGGATCGTGGGGCTTAAGCTTGAGGAAGCATCTGTGAGGCCGAGGTACAAAAATGCTGATCTGTGTTAATTTTGAAGCCCCAGAGATTAATAACAATGAATAAGGTAGAAAGGAGTCCTGAAAGTTGGTAGATAACTCTGAAAATAGTTTACATACATTTTGAGAGATAAGAACTTTTTGAGCAAATGTGATGGTGGAACACTGATGTGGAATTAGCCTTGAGAACAAGTACTGTACTGATCTCTCCTCCTGACCTCTTGAATCAGAGAGAATGGCTGGACGACTGGCTTTCATTTAAAAGGATTGGGAGGAATGTAGTGTCAAAAGCTAGATTTCATTAATGCCAGAGATTGAGTGAATTTGAGGAAAATTTTCATCCTAAAAGATACTTGTTTCTAATAGAATACTTAATATTGAAATATGGCTACCATGTATTGAGTATTTCCTATGTGTCAGACACTGTATTACGCTGTTGATGCACATTATTTCATTTAATTCTCTCAAAAAGTTTTCTGTGGTAGATAGTTTTATTGGCTTAAAGAACAGGAGTAAAGCAGTAAGGAAAACAAAGCTGAAATAGGAGGTTGTAGTCAGAGAAAAGCTTGTTGAGTTTATGATTTTAGCTATTAACAAGTTCTGGGAAATGGTAAATTCAGGGTGTACTCATGGAGTGGGTAACTGCAGTGGAGTGAATATGAAGGTCTAAAAAGGTGAGGTCAAAGAAGAGTGAGGTGAGGCTTTTGAGTGGTTCAGCCATATGGACGTTAAAGTCACTCAGTTATGGCAGGATTTAGAGTATAGAAGAAGACTATTAACCAGTATCCTAAATCTTCAATGCGATGAAGTGACCAGGAGGCAGGTGCTAAGGATGAATAGATGGGTGGTGTAAGTCTCAGAGGAGAATTACTTTTCTTTCCTTTATGAAAACTTTCTTCAGTTGAAGTATAGCATACATACAGTTAAGTACACAAATCATAAGCAGCTTGGTAAAGTTTCAAAAATGATCTTACTTGTTCACCCAGCAGCCAAATTAAAAAAAAAAATTACCAGCAGCCCCGAAGCCCTCCCCTTTGCTCCTTCTCCACCATAAATTAATTAGCCTATTTTTAACTTTATGTAAATGGAATAAGGCAGTATTTACTCTGTTATGTCTGGCTTCTTTCACCCAATATTGTTTTTGAGATTCAGCCGTTACACATGTATGCTAGTTCATTCATTCTTATTGCTCTGTGATATTCTAGAGGGTGAATATATCATGAGTTATTTATCCATTCTGCTGTTAATGGACATTTGAATTATTTTCAGTTTTGAGCTATTACAAATAATGCTCCCATCAACATTCTTGTATATGTCTTTTGGCGCACATAAGTGCACGTTGCTGTTGAGTATATACCTAGGAGTGGGATCGCCAGGTCATAGGGCATGCAGCTTTGGTAGCTACTGCCAAATAGTTTTCCAAAGTGGTTGTACCAATTTATATTCCCATTCATGAGGGTTCCAGTTGTTCCACTTTCTCACTAACAAGAACAGAGATTTTTACCTAAGGCTGGGGAAGTAATGGCTTAGAAGCAGCATTGGCAATCAGAAGAAGACAAACTCTACCTCCTATACCTGAGACACTTTGAATAGCCTCCACTTGAGAGTTACAAGGGAAGCAGTGACCTCAGGGGACAGTCATGCTTCATTTCAGGCAAGGAGAGAAGAGGGTAGACACAATGGAAGGGCTTTTGGAGTTTGGTGGAGTAGCAGGAACTTTGGTCAGTGAAGAGAAAATACAGATCACTGTAGAAATTAGAATACAGGAGATGATACATGACTCTAGATTTTGTTTTGGGGCTTGAGTCAAGGATGATGGGGACGGGAAGGAACATGGATGCCATAGACCTAAAGGTTTCAAAATCCTTGATAATACCAGCCTTTGTGTCAACTTTAGTCTTTGTCTCTTTCCTCTTTTGTTTCATGTGACTGATATCAGAAAGTAGTTGGAACCTAACAAATGAAGTTCATTCTTGGGAAGACGGTTGGTTATCTCCAGCAAAATCAGTTTTTCACTTTCCACTCAGCATTGTTGAGCATCTGTATTTTCAGTGCAACTTTGAAAGTATGCTTTGAAACCCTTAACCATACTTGGTATAGGTTCCAGGATGTTGCTTTATGCCATAGAGTGAAAATGATCTGTGCCTTGCCTCCTACCACACCTATATGACTGAGCTATTCCCTGTGATGCCATCCTCACAGGTGGCTGTTAGGTGTTCTGTGAACCTCATTTAATATGGAAATTAAAAATTGCTTGACATGGACCCT